AAATTTGTTTATCAGTTACTTGTGATTTTTCTGTGACTTTCCTGTATATATTTTTTGTCCTTTTTCTATTGCACTATAGACTATGTGTATTGGTTTTTATAAGTTTCTTCATATATCAAGGAAAATAGCCCCTTGACTACCATAGATCTAGTGAACATTTCACTCACATTTCTTATTTATATTTTAAATAAGAAATTTTAAAGGGGCATTTTTTTGTAATGCAGAACTTTTAAATGTTTCATATAGACAAATATATTATTAATTTTTTTCTGTATGGGTTCCATACTTTAAATTTTGTTTAGAAAAGCTTTATGCACTCTAAAATTACCAAATAAACATTTCATTTAAATTAGAAGAATTTGATGTTTTCTTCTAATACTTTCCCAGTGAAGCTAGGATTTAAAATTTCTTACTTTTGCTTTTGAACTGTCCTTTTAGATTTTGACTGTTACATAGAGACATTATTGAAGCATACAAGTTTCTGTCTATATTAACTACTAGGGTAAAAGTTCTGCAGTTATTCTGTGCTATAAAAATAAAATCTCAAAGACATCTCTTATCCCATTTTGCTGTGGTCTAGCATTTAAAAATATTTAATTGTGAAGAAGAAAATTATCCCAAATAATGACTTCCATTTAAAAAATCTGTTTTCCTATTACAAATATGTATCCTATGAGTTTGCAAATTATTTTATTCAACTCTTTTAGGTTCTTTTCAGTCCTGCCTCTGGGGAGGTCTCAGTAGCTGCTGTGATCTGGATCTGGAATGTCCCTGAGGAGCTGTGTGTTAAAGGCTTGCTCTCCAGGGTGGTGCTCTTGGGAGGTGGTAGGAACTTTAAGAGGTGGGGCCTAGTGAGGGGTCTTGAGGTCATTGGAGACATGTCCTTGCAGGGGACAGTGGGACCCTAGCCTCTTCCTCTTCCTCTCTTTGGCTTCCTGGCCATGAGGTGAGGGTTTTTTCTCTGCACCACATTCCTGCCATGATGTCTTATCTTGCCACAGACCCAAAGCAATGGGGTCAAATAGTCATGGATTAGAACCTTTAAAACTTTGGCCTTTTCTTTTCCAAGGTAGTCATTTCAGCTATTTTTGCTATAGTGATGGGAAACTAACTAACACAGAAGTTTTTCTTAAGAGAAACTTTTGTTAAGTTTGCTTTTCTGCAATATGGACTACTCTTAACAAAGTTAACTAATGAAGCAGAGGGCTCTGGTTTCAGAAAKTAGTGAAAATGATTATTTGTATTATTGGTACACATTTTAAAAGGAGACTCAGAAGTTCTGAAGGCTATGTCAGGTTTCAAATGGCATAAATCTGGAGAGTCCGTTGATGTGTCCTTCCACATGWTTGGAGTAGATACCATAAGAATAACTACTATAAGTTGTATCTCTGATTCCTGAGGATTCTTTGTTAGTCATGTGCCATGGCTGATGATGGATCAGAGGAAGGAGACTCAGGGACAAGTGGTGGATTTCTCTGTCCCAGGGACATGTGGGGACTGGATGTCAGGGAGAGTCCTGAGTATCATTGTGCCCTGCGTTTGAACTCCTGCTGCTCTCAGCAGAACAGATGAGGATATTTATTATYTGGGAGCTGAGGCAGATAACTGTTGTAGAAGGGGGACAGGAGGAGTTAAGCAGKCATCATCAGGGGCAGGTCACCTTGCAGGGAGGACTGCTGTAAGTAGCAGATGTGTGTGTCAGAATCTGCACTCTTAGTCCAGGAAAGGGTTGGTGTCCCTCCCTGGCTCCAAGG